CTATTGGTTCCGCCGTGGCGGGATGGAACGCGGCCGCCTCGAGGGCGGCTCCTGATTGGCTGAACGGCGCTGCCACTTGGCGCGCCGCGCCCCGCCCCGCCCCGCCGCGCACCGGCCCCGCCGCCGCCACCACCGCCCCCGCCGCGGCCATCTTCGAGCCGCCCCGCCCCGCCCCGCCGGCACCGGCACCGGGGGGAGGGGGCCGAAAAGCGCCGTGGTCCCTTCACGGCCCTGCGGGTTGAGGGCGGCCCCGGGTGCCCCAAGTCAAGGGGGACCCCCAAAGCGGTGCCCCCGCCCCGCGATAACGCGCTGCGAAGTTGCAGCGACGCTTCAAAGCCGGAGGGCTGAGAGCTGCAGGGCCCGACCGAGAGCCGCACCTCCGAAACGGTCGTACCTACCCCGAAAAAAAAGTTGCTGCCGTCAAAAAAGTTGTGCTCTCCAAAGCTGCACCCCCAAAATCAGAGCGTTCCCCCTCATCTGTAGCGTTCCCCAAAAAGTTTTGCTGCCCCCTCCCCCAGATTCTGCAAAAATTGGGAGTCCCCTCCCAGAAAACCCCCAGGGAACCCTGGAAGTTGCAGAGCTCCTCCATCAGCCCTAGGGTTCCCTGGCAATTGCAGGGCTGCCCCCAAAGTCACGCCCCCTCCCCAATTAGAGAGCCACAGCCCCTAAGCCACAGCACTTCTGCAAAAGTACGGGGCCACCCCAACCGTGTCATCCCACCCATAATGATAGGGTGTCCCCTAAAAAAGCTTTGTTACCAGCCAGGATGAGTTTTGGGGTTTCCCAAAGGCTGCAGGTGTGCACAGGGCTGTGGGTGAAACCTGTTTTCACAGGATGCCCAGAGCACTTGGCTGCACAGGGTGCGCTGGGGGGCCAAGTGGCATGGGGTGCATGTGGTTTGTGGGGCAGTTGAATTTCTGGGGGGACACGAGCGCTCAGGCTGGCATGACCCACATTCTACTTGTGGGGCTGAGAGTGCTGGGTGCCGCCCTGGTTCTGTGACGTTTGATTTGGGGCCTGAAGGTCAGGACAGAGTCCGTGCAGATGTCCCCCCTTATGCACTCCCCAGCAGCCCTACGTGTGGTGTCCCTGAGTGTCCCCTCGTCCCTCTGTGTGCAATGAAGAGGGCGGCCCTGGGACAGTTAATTAGCAATGATGGGGTGCAGCCACCAGGGGTTGGGGCAGCAGGGCAGGGGCTCCCCCCAGCCCCCCCCCCCCCCTTGGGTTAATGGTTAACAGCAGAGCGATTGAGCCCACATTGTGCAACTGAGCCAGCACCTTGGGTGCATTGCACAAGGGGGGGTGTGGGACTATAGGGGCTGTACAGTGACATACAGGCCCTATGAGCTGTGCTGGGGTACAGAGCCCCCGAGGTGGTGCTGGGGGCTGCATGGGCAGGAGAAGGGTATGGGGTGCAGCACCGGATGGGGTGCAGCAGAGCATACAGCACCATGTAGCATGCAGCACCGCATGGCATACAGCACTGCACCCTACAACATGCAGCATGTGGTGGGATGGGGAGTAGGGTGGAGAAAACAGGGGTGGAGAAAGGAGGGGGGGTCGGGGAGGGATGGAGAAAAGGGGATGGGGAAGAATAGGGATGGGGATGGGGAAGAATAGGGATGGGGATGGGGAATATGGGGAAGGAGAAGGAGGGGGATGGAGAAAAGGAGACGCGGGGAAAATAGAGATGCGGAAAAAGGGATGGGGAAAAGAGGATGGAGAAGGTGGTGAAAATAGGGATGTGGAAAATGGGGATGGGGAAAATGGGGCAGGGACACGCAGCAGCTCAGCAGCGAGCCCACGTGCGCAGCATCCCCGCGCCCCGCCCCGTGCCCTTTCCTATCGGGCCCCCATCTCGCAGGGGGATGGGCCCGGCTGTGCTCGGTGCACGCTGCGGTTTGGCACCCGGTTCATCTCAGCGCCAGCACCCCGTTCCTCCCCGTGCACAGGGCGTAACGTCCCCGGCATTCTGCTGAGCGCCGTGTTTTCGGTTTTCAGCTCTTCGCCTGCTTCGATCGAGGGCAAAATCTGGAGGAGGCGGGCGCACGGTTTCCTTCCTTCTTTCCCTCCTGTGCTGCAGCATCAGGGTGGGCAGAGCCCCGGCTTTGGCACCGCTGTGACACGACCCTGCCTGGTCCCACTGCGGCAGCGCCTGGTGGCTGCAGCCATGCAGGTGTTTTGGAGCATTGGTGCAGGTCCAGCACGTGACTGTGAGCCCGCCACGGTGCCACCACGGGTGAGGGTTTGGGATGGAGTTTAAAGGTGTTTTCTTACCAGCAGGACAAATGATAAAGCAACGGGTTTGTAGGACGCTGCTCATGGAGGTGTCACATATGCCCAAAAGTGATGGAGGTGGAAAGTGGCAGGGGACAGTGGGGATGTGCAGCCATCCCACAGTAACCTCGGGGTCACTGGGAGATGGAGTGGAGCTGCTCATGGCTCCCACTGCTGGAAGGGCCCTATTCTGCTCCAGCATCTCTGCTGATGGGTGACCCAGTCCTACAGTCCATGCCTGGGGCTGCCTCATGGCAATGGCCCCAACCCCACCTGGAGTTCCCATGGAACACCAGAGGTAGCACCAGACATCCCACCATGCCCACCCGGCTGGGGCACCTCAGTGCCAACCTGCTGGCACCAGGTGGGACAGGACAAGGATGCTTAAAGAAAAGGAACTCAAAATATATACAGAGCTCACATATGGCACAGCTGTGTGCCCGTCCCCACCTTGCGGGGCAGAGCCTCAGTGCCCAACTTCCATCCATCCATCTGTCCATCCATCCACCTGCCCGCCTTAGGATTGCTATAGGTTGGTGATGTACACCTGCAGCCCATTGGCAGCTGTCCAGCCAGAAGCTCCCCGAGATTCCCCTCCCCACATATCACCAACGCTCTCATAGAGGTTGTCCTGCTGGCAAGGCTTCCCCGGCCGCTCCCGTTTTGCTGCCTTCTTCCAGCGAACGTCCACAGCCTCATAGTCCGGCTCAGGGCCACGTGCAGCCCAGGCTCTGTCACTGATGGCCTCATAGCAGGGCTCGGGGGGGGCCGTGGGCCAGCAGGCAGCTGGGGGAGGCTCCTCGTGGGGTGGGGGTGGCCGCCCGGATCCCCCGTCCCTGGGGGATGCTGCAGGGCCATGGTTCCTCTTCTTGGTGGCTTTGCACACAGTTGAGTACATATCTTCCAGCTGTGGAGGGAAGGGAATGGTCTGGAGATGGCTGATCCTCCCAGGTCATCCCTAAGCCCCTGGTAGGATGACGGCATTGCCATACCTGTGGGTACCACTCTTTGCATCACCCAGGATAGCGCTCGGTTCGTCTCCTACCTGCACCCGGGCTCCATCCCAATCCCCCAAAACACAGTTGGAATAGTAGAATATCCCATTGCGTGCCCTTCTCTGCACACGTGCATTATAGAAGTAGTGTTATGGGCCCCCCCAGTGCCATACCTTCAGATGGGGCGCATCGCTTGCACCTTCCCAGCACTGTGGGGCTGCAGAGGGTCCCGCCACGGCCCCCTCCTGCTCCTCTGGCACTGTCTTCTTCACCTTCCGGATGCAGGCATAGTCAGCAGCCCCTTGCCTGACCCGAGGGGGGGACGCTGGGGTCCCAGTGGCAGTAGGTGCATCATCCCCCCCCCATTGCCAGGCACTCGTAGAGCGTGTCCGGGGGCGCACGATGCGGTGGGGTGAAGGGCAGGTTGGAGTAGGTCTGGTCGGGAGCTGCAGTCTCAGAGCTGGGGATCAGGGGCAGCTGGCGGTGCAGGAGGACGGAGCTGTGCGGGGAGTCAGGAGGCAGTGAGGAGAGGGGGAAATCCAGGCTGGCCGGGCGCTGGTCTGCAGGGAGGAGATGGGACATGGAGTCACTGCACTGCAGCACAAGGTGTGTGGGGTGGGATGCTCGGGGGTCGCACACACTCACTGTTGTCCTTGGCCTTCAGGCGGTACAGCTCATGGAGCCTCGTGTCCGACTTGCTGAGCGAGCGCAGCTGTGTCTGTCTGAGCAGGGACTGCAATGGGGAAATACACGCTGTCAGGGCAGGGCACCCAGAGCTCCCCACAGCCCTGCCCGTGCCCTTACCTCATCCACCAGCTTCACGCCGTCTGGAGGGACCTTCTTTCTCCTGCCGTGGCTGTGGGAGAAGTGGGACTGAGTGGTGGTAAGCGAGCGGTTGCCTGGGAGCTCGACCCAGCTCCAGTGGGAATCACTGAGCAGCCCTCACCCCAAACCCACCCCCTACCCCTCCACCAGACTGCAGTGGAGGCAGTGCTGCTGGGGGCTCGTGCACATCCTGCGCCCAGCTGGGTACACAGCTCCAGTGCCCAGGAACCCTCAAAACCCCATCAGCGTCCTGTAAGCAACCCCCAGCATTGCCCCAACGTTCACCCGCCCGATGTTCATCCACTCAACATCCATCTCCAGCATCACCACCACAGCCTCGCCCCCAGCTGGGACCAGCTTTTTTGGGTGCAGGCCTTCCCCCTCAGTGCACACCAAGGCTTCAGCAGGGATCTGGGTATGAGGAGCAGGCCTAAAGCACACAGCATCGCCGGGCACGTACCGTCGGCAGGCAGCACACAGGGTGCACAGGTAAACCAGGCCTCCGAGCAGGGCCAGTACAGCGAGGGCCACCAGGGGTGGGGGTCCCAGCAGCCCCTCGCTGTGGGTCACAGCCATGGGGCACCGCTTCTGTGAGTGCTGCAGGGCTGAGCTCTGGGGAGAGAAAACATAAGTGGGGCTGTGCATGGGGACAAGGCTCTCTGCATTTGATGCCCGGCGCCCTGTTCCCTGCCAGGACCCCACAGTGTTGGGCAGCGGGCTGCCCAGATGCTGCCCACAGCCTCTCCAGGGACAGCCACCAGGGATTGTTTTCTGTCCTGCTGCTGCCTTGCTGGAGGCTCTGCTGCTCCGGATGTTGGTTCCTTTCAAAAAAGCAGCAGTGCAGAATTCATCTCCCACGTTGCTTTTGAGATCTTACAAAGGAGAAGCCCCAGAGGCACCCCAAATTGTCAGCACGCTTTGGGAATAGCAGGGCTGGGCAGTGACCATGGCATAGGGTCAGAAGAGCTGGAAACCATTTGGTGGGGTCACGTAGGATGCTGGCAACAGCCCTGCTGACAGCACCATCACCGCGCTGGGGGCCATGGTGTGACTCAGGGACGCACAGAGAGGATCCTGCTTCTCAGAATGGAGGAAAGCAGAGCAGTTTGTGGCAGTCACCATTCACCCAACACCAGTAAAATCCCAAGGCATCGTTCCTTTCCCTGCTCGGCCACTGCTGTGCTGCCAAACTGCCACCACATCCCCAGCATCGATGTCACAGCGGCCGCTCTTTGCTCTGCACACCCCAAAAAGGCCCTGGGGTGTCAACGTGAGAACTTCCCACACCTTCGGAAACGTCGCCGATTCAAAGCCTTCACCCCCAGAGAGCAATTATTTCCATGTGGAAATGGAGACGGGAGGTCGGAGGCACCAACCAGGCTGGGCAGACCGGCTCACATCAGAGCTGGGAAGGAGCTCCTCTGCCTCCATGGTGTTTTAATTAGGCAGCACCGCTCGCTGTCTGAGCACGCATGGTTTGTTACCTGCAGCGCTCCAGACGGTCCCGGCTGAACTCGTTTGGCTCATTACAGAGGATCAGAGGCTGCAGGGGTGGCTGCACCCGGGGCAGCAGCAAGGAGAGGTGCTGGCACTTGGCAGAGCGATACGCAGCAATGGTGGCTGGAGGTGAATGGGGCTTGAAGGGAAATCTTCTCTTGCTGTGACAAGCACACGTGGGGACGGCTCAGCCCACGGCCATCCCCGAGCTGTTTGGGTTTGAGAATGAGGTTCTCCAGCTGAAGTTAAGTCAGAGCTCTTCTCCTGACCTACTTTGGCCGCCCTCTCCACTGGGCAGGAGGTCTGTGGTTGCTCCTGTGTTTTTGACCTAAAAAATGGTCCACTTTTTACGCTCTTTGGCACGTTTGGGTTCTGCACTCATTGGGAACAGCCCCCTAGGGACAGGGCGCTGGTTTTACCAATTACCAAGAGCGACCAGTTGGAGACCCAGCACTGCCCAATGCTCAGACCAAGCAGGCGTGCAAGACAGAGATTCCAACCAACTGCAACGTGCAGCTCAACTTCCTGCTAATAAAGCCATGGATCTCCAGGTTCTGGGGCTGCTCTCAGGGCAGGAGCTGCAGCAGACAGCATTCCCACCAGCCCCACTGCTTTGCAGGTGGCCGCAGCTCCATGGGCATGACATGCACCGGGGAATCGCCCCATCTCACGATGCCTCAGCACCAGCACTGAACCCAGTTTCTTACTCCAGGATATGAGGGTTTTTCAGCTCCAAAAGCCATGTTACAAAAAGCTCGAGTTCCTCAGCTGGGCCTCATGACAACGAAATCTGATTTCCTGTCAATTTAAGTTCTGCTGCTGACGATTTTGCCCAGTGTGATTCATTGGGGCAGATAACGCTGCACCAACATAACATAGGAAAAAGAGGAGAGTCTGCAGAGCTGCCATGGAAAACACCACGGTGCTTCTCATCCACGATGGCCAACGGGGCCACAGCCAACACAGCGCGGTGCCCTGGGGATTTGTACCAAAAAAAATCCCACCAAGCAGAATTAGGGGGCTTTCATTCCCCAGTTGTGAAAAGCAAAAGCCTCATAACCGTTAATCAACAGCACTGAGCCTGCCCAAGACAACGGGATGCCATTAATAAAGTTGAAGATTATTTCCAAGGAGGAGCAGGCACGAGTGCTCAGCCCCTGCACTGCGCTCCTGCAGCTCTGAGGGGCTCTGAGCTCCCATTGAGATAACTTAGAAAAGGGCCAAAAATATCTCTAACGCCAGACCCGAGCCTTACAAAGCTTGGATGAGCACTAAGACCCAGGACTAGCAACGCAGGACCAAAGCATGCTCCACGAGGGGATGTAGGAGGTGTGTTTGCCCAGATCTCCTGGCTGCCTCTGTGCCCCACATTCAGCACGGTTCTACATCGTTTCCAATTGATGAGAGGCTGTTTCAGTGACCACACGAGCCTCCACAGCACCCTTCTCACAGGAGTTCAGCGTTTTCCCCCAGAACTGTTCTGGATGCAGTCAACAGTCCAAGCCCAAGCTGCTGTGTTTGAGACCTTTGCCTCCTTTCCCATCCCCAGCACCGCCAGCACCACGCACAAACCCCGCACGGCTCCCCGCAGCTTCACCCAGCAATGCTTCAACTCTGCAGCACTGAAAATAGGAATCCTGCCTGTCCAGTCTGGCTGGCTGCAGCAGCATCTCTGACAGCACTGCAGTTCCCACACGGATTAAATATTTTCCAGCCCCGGTTTAGTTGCAGATACGTTTACCAGGCAAGAAAGGGACCATCACTTACTTTGCAGAACCTCAGAAACTGGTGAGCGTGAAGAACAGGAATCCAGCCATGCCTGCCTCCTTGCCAGTCAACTGAGAACTTTGTCTCCTTTAAACCACAAGCCTGCTCCTCATCAGGGGCTCCCAAACACTCCGAGCATCTCCATCCAAGTTCTCCCACTCTTCAGCTCATTCTCGGCAGGCAGCTCTGTGCAGATACCATGCAGACCACAGCTTCCTGACCTGCAGAGCTTGTTGTTTCACCCAGCAGCAGGCTGGGCTTCTCCCCGCCTTGTCTGCGAGCAGGCTCTGCAGGCACCCAGCTCACAAGAGCACCCTCTGCTGCTCTCTGCTCCTGTAGAGCTGGTTTTGGAGCCAGCTGTGTCTGCAGGTGAACATAAGGAAAGAAGGGGTTGCCACATCGAGTCATTACCTTGCAAACAAGCAGTGCCTTAAAAGGGCAGAGAGAAAAAACAAAAAAGTAAATCTTCAGCAGGGATGTGCCATGGGTGGGAGGCAGCAGCCGCGTAAATGGAAGTCTGAAAAGTGGAGCTGTGGGAAACCACAAGGGGTAAAAAATACAGCTCAGAGACACGGGGCTGATACACCCAATTGTGAGATGGAAAACACCCAACAGCATCGGGGCACAAAACAAACCGAGGAGTCCCTCTGCCCAGCTCATTAGTCGTGGGCCACTCCAACAAGCAGCCACGCTAAGCCGGCACACTGACTCCTGTCACCACTCAACACTCGTGTGTGGGAGTTACAGACATCAGAGAGGGCACTGAGGAGCCATTGTTAAAAGCCTGAGTTCAACCCAGAGCGTGGAGGACACGAATTGAGAACAATGAAGAGACTGCAGCCAAACTGGTGACAAACAGACGGACGCGATGTGCTCCAGGCAGCCCACCACCTTTCACAGTGCCCATCACAGCAGAACCCCACCACTGCTTTCCAGGAGGAAAGAGGCACGCTGAGAGGCTTCCTGAAGATACTCATCTTGTTTATTTTGGCTGTTGCTCTTTGTTTTCCGAGGTGTGCCTGCAGTAACGCTAAATCACATCTCCACTCTGATGGTATCTCCTTCAGCCTTAGGTTTTCTGGTTAGCCTGGCAGTGAATCTGACAGGCCTGGCCCCACAAGGTGATGCAGCTCTGCCCAAGCTGACAGCTTCATAATTTTCTCAGGAACAGATAAAAAGGTGGCATTAAGGAAGCAAAGCTTTCCATTAGACAAAAAAATAACTCGGAATAAAAGGAAATCGATTTTTTTTTTTTTTTAATTAAGAAAAAATGTGTTCTTAAGATACTGGCATGAAACCACTAACAATTTTTTTTTTTTTTTTTTAAAAAACAATACAATTACAATGCACAAATCCCACCAGAAAGAGGGTCTGATGAAATCACCATCTCTCCTCTGGGGCAAGGGCCAGCTGCAGCCAACAGAGAATACAACCTTGGGGAGAGGACATCCCTCCTGGGAGAGGACTGAGCACGCAGCAGGGAAGGGCACCTCACCTGGCTGCTCCCAGGCAGGGCTGTGTGCTCAGCACACACACACCTCCTGGTCCTTGTGCTCGTTCAGGGCACAGTCTGACCTGAGACTGGGTCCTGAGGTTTCTTAATAAAGGATCTGCATTCAGAGAGCCACCTAAGACTGAAAAACTCAAGTAACAACAGAAGCTCAAGGTTCCCTGTAGCGTTGATCCTGGCTAGGAGGTTTGAGAATCTGTTACTCTGCTGTCACACTCCCCCAGCTCTGGCACTCATGGAACCACGCAGCTCCCCATGCCAAGTCAATCAGTTAGGCTACAGCATGCCTTAGGGATACTCTTACAGTCAAACTGAAGAAATACGACGCTTGAGGCCCCTAGTACCCCCCCCTAAGCTGCCAGTTTTCTGTCTATGCATTACACTAGGTTGATGAGAAACTGCTCTTTATTTAAGAGTTCTCAGATAAACCCCATAGCAAAGAACAGAAGGTAGAGAGCAGCTGAACTTTGTTGTTTTCAACTAGCATATGCCTTTACTGCTCTGCCAGAATGTGCCTGGGACCCTGCCTCCACTTGTGTTCATCAGTTGGCTGCAAACACAAGCCACAACCGATGGCAGGATGTGGGGCTTTCAAAGGCCCTCCTCATCTGGTTCGTAGCCAGCAATGTTATCATCTGAGCAGCTACACACTCCAGCTACTGCAGTGATGAGAGGAAAGAAGTGTGCAAGATAGCAGAGAACTGTGTTTCTTGTTGCTAGTCCTTATACAAACTTCAAGGCTGGATGGACGTGGGCTCATCCTCTTCCCGGCAGAGCTCAGCAGCATCCAGTTTCAGGAACTGGTGCTTTTCAGCCCAGTTCTTGGACTTGGAATGCAGCCTGAGACCCAGAGAAGCAGGACAGCTCACCGGGGCTTTGAGGCCTTGAGCACAAGGGTCGGCTAGAAGGATAACCACTTCAGTCAAGCACCTTCCTCAGAGACTAGAATTCAGTCATCTTCTTATGTGTATCTGCTTTCTTCTGCTCCCGCTGCAGACTGGCTTCCTGGGCCTGCAGCTGCCCCAGCTGCTTGTGTGCATTAGCCAGCTTCTCCTCCAGCTGAGCAGTAGCAACGCTGTGCCTGAAAGCAAGAAGCATCATAGCAGTGTGTCATCCTGTATGTAAGATCAGAGGTCTGTCACCATCCCAGGAGGGCCTTCCCTTTCCTATGGGATCAGCCCAAGGCACCTGCTGAAGGCAGGAAGTACCTGATGCTCAGCACAGTCTGGGCTAGAAAATGTCCTCCAGCGCTGCTCAACAGCAGCACTTCAGAGATGGGCATGGGAAGGAAAGGACTCTGGGACTTCTCCTGAGAGAGCTCTTCTCTTTAACACACCCAAAGGACCCCAGACACACCTGCCAGTGTCCAAGCTGGGCTGAAGCACACATTAAAGGCTCTCTCTCTCTCTACTTCCCCCCATGTCTCGCACAGAAGTTTCCTTCCTTCCTCCCACACCTCATTCCAAGCCCACCCCTTCCCAAACTCACCAAGAATCCTCAGCTTATCCCATCGCCCAAAAGAGAAGTTTTTCCTACCGCCCAATATTGCGTGCCAGGGCCTGCTGGATTCCTTTGATATCCTTCTGTGTTTGTTCAATCTTCTCCATCGTCTGGAAGAGGCGGACGCTCAGGGCCTTCTTGGTGCTCTTGCTAGCATGGTAGATCTCTTTGCTTTTCCTCTCTGGCAGTGTCACACCTCCAGCCCTCTCCCCAGCGCTCTTCCCTCGCAGTTTCTCATTCAGAAAGTCAAACACGTTGTGCGGTGGCTTGCGGCTGCCTGCAGGGGATCTCCTGCTGTTATTTCCCTTTGCTCGGGATTTCTTCGAACTGCCAGGGTCCAGCCTCCCCTGTTTCTTCCTCTGAAGCACCTCAGCACACTGGTCAAGGGATTTCCCTCGAGGAAGTACCACCGCCTGCACCGGCTCCACTCGGCCCTCAGAATTCTTCCCCAGCCCTGAGAGGGAAAAGCCATGAGAGTCACCAAGCCATTACCACAAGGAAGGACATCCCCTCTCCAAGTCAGCTCCCACCACAAACCCACACTCACACTGACAAGCTTAGAACAAGCATGCAGGCTTTGGACGTGCAAAACGTCCTAAGTACCATCCAAGTTGAGGGAAACAGCCACAAGCCACAGCTCAGTTATGTAACTCAACAGCAGGAGCCTCCTACAGCAGAAGATATGCACTAAGAAGCCCAAGGCCAACAGCCAGGTCACCTTCTGTGAGACAAGGTTCAGTCTCACATCCTTGGCTTCTCAAGGCAGGTTCTTAAAACTGGTTTGGTTCCTCTGGGAGAACCCGAGACAAATCGAGTGGCAGACTGGCCTCCTAAGGCCCCCAAGGCTCCATACAATTTGTGTAGTAAGAAGCTGGTTTAGCAGGCTTTGAAGTCCACGTCTAGAGTCAGGAGATGCTTTAACACAGACATCACAAGCTTCATAAATCAGCTCCCTTCTACCTTCCTAAAGCCTTTGAACAGCTCATTCAACAGTTCTCATGGCTTTAATCGTTACCTTGACCTTGGTTTTAAATGCCTCCAACTTCTGCTATTACCATACAGGGGCTGTATGTGCACACATGTGCCTCTACCTCGATTAAATAGTTTTCTTCTTGCCTACTAACACTTCCACCCAGGGGTGATTCATCACATACCTCAAGCCTTATCTAACAGGCCCTTCAGCAAAGTTTTTGCCTCATCCAAAATCTTCTCACTCAGCCTTAGGATCCATCACAGGACTGAGACTGCGACGTAGGCAGGCCCCCACACCACCAGGACAACCTTCTCTTCTTACCTTTCCCAAACTCGTATCCCATCTGAACAAGCAGTTTGGATCCAATGCCACGAGTGTGGGCTTCCCAGCCACCGAAAGAGGAACTGCACGCAGGAGCCCATTCTCCATTCTCTGGAACCCCAGAATCAATCACTGCAGCACAGAAAAGACAAACTAGTGACACACAGACACTAAACTGATTTGCAAAACCTTCAAGAGCACAACAACCCTTCTTGATGCAATACAATGTACTTCTCCCACCACAGAATCATTCAGCAGCTCCTCCAGCTTTACTTGTTCCTACTGTGCTGTCACCTTTTACAAACACCACTTAAGAGGGTTACCTGAGAGCTCTCACTTGATTTAATGCACACACCATCTCACAGTTCCAGGCAGAATCACCTACAAGTCCCTACATTTCTTTTCTTTCTTCTGGGATGGTCAGATTGATATATGCCATCCCATGAAAGTTTGGCACTGTGGCACATAATATGCTTAATCAGTGCTTCCAGAGCATGTCATAAGCTCAAGGATTCTCTAGGCTAGTATGCTAAGACGTGTTATTAGCATTCAGTAATCTCCATTAGGCTAAATTTACAGGGCTCTAGGACACAGCTTTGTCCCTGTGACATAACAGGGGCACTAGCACAGAGAGAGTGCTACTTGTATATGCTCAAAGAGGTCACCTGGGCTCTGTTTGTGTCAGCTTGCTGTAGTAAAAAAACCAGGCACAGCTGTTACTCATTAAGGCACTGGGAGATCCAAATACTTGTGCCTGGGATCTCACTCATGTGCTATACAGCTCCATATTGGTTCCAAGGAGATTAGAAGTCTCCTGTTTCACTTACTTGCTCAGCTCACATGCCCACCTGAGAACTGGAACTCTGCTGTAAAACATGGCGCCCTCTACCTGCTCCCACAGAAACATCCCAGCTTCATCACTGCTACTCTGCACTAAAGTCACATTTCATTCTGCAATTGTAACATAACAGATTCTTCCCCTTCTCAAACTTTCAGCAACACAAAAAGAGATTACCCACCATCTCATGAGAGGTGAGACACTTGCAATGAAAGCTCCAGGTCCCAGACAGAAGGCAGGCACAGATCACAAGGCACTTTTCTCACACCCTCACCACCCTCTCACCTTTAGCATAACCAGAATCATCAACACTGTCTTCATCAGATTCAGCAGATGAGGCACCATCTTCACTTCGTAGTGGGGGAATTACACTGTCTCCTTCCACAACAGCTTCCTTTAGCAGCAGGGAATCAAACTTCACAGTGTAGTAGCCACTGTCAATATCTACAGAAGAAAAAGCAAGAAACAAGCAAATGCTCAATACAAACATTGCAGAGGGCTTTCTCAAAGTCAGCTTCAGGGAATGATGTGTGGGAGAGGAGAAAGGCCCAAGGAACACCTGTTAAAACAGTTAAATGCTTAAAAGATTTACTTCTAAAAATGGAGAAAGATGGGCTATCAACAAATGGAACTACAAAGAAGTTTGACTTACTCCCTCTGACCCAGCAATTGCCGAAGAATAAACCCTCACCCTTCCCTTCTCAGAACAGAGGGAAGCCTCTATCAACAGCTCCCAGATTGCTGCAGTTCTACTCAAATATGCCAGCAAGAGCCTGCCACACCAGCCTCTTCCCTTTCGGTGCATTTCATGACTATGCCATCATTTCCCTTCTACATTACTGCTCTAATGTCACCTTTTTGTTTCCTATCCTCAGAACAACTCAGACCACGTTCTCAACCACCTCCAGATTTTCAGTTCAAGGCCACAGCTACATCCTCAAGTTTCTGCTATCGTTAACCAAAATAGCCATGCTTTGTAATTCCCTGAGCATGGGTGCTCAATCCCTACACAGCTCTGGCAGAACCCCACAAACACCACTCACCAGTTATTTTTGCAGTGTACCATATCCCATCGCTGTGTTTCGCCAGGCAGGCAGAGCCCACCTCCAGGGTGCTCAGATTGGGCTCCTGAAATGGCTGAAGCTCCTCCACAGAAACCACTTGGCCATGTGAAAACCTGCCAGGGAAGGCAGAAAAGGAGTTAGATCTACCTCACTGGAAAGGGCTTTAAATATAAACCCCTTCCTTCCTGACAGGAAACGCAAACAAGTTGTCAAGCAGTGATGAATCTGCACCAGTAGCTGCACAGCAGATTAATCTTGCATTGGTTCCATTACAGAAGTCATTTATTTTTCATCGCATTCGTATCATTTCTGTTGTGTAACAAAAGAATGCATCCCACCCCCAAGAACGAGGCTTTCTTTGCAAGGCAGATCTCTGAGAAATCACAGATCTTTTGAGATACTGAGGATTGCACACAGACACACAGCTCTCCAGCTCAGCATCCTGCTTAAAGCACAGCCAACCTCAAAGCCTGATGGGGTTGCTCAAGGCCTTATCCAGGTTAGCTCTGAAGCTCTCCAAAGATGGAGACCCTGTAACTTCTGCGTGCAGCTGGAACAAAGGCACCATCAACAGACCGCCGTCGGTATTTTTGTTCTGAGTCATTAATCTGTGATTAATGCAGCTATTTGAAGCATAAGGGAAAATTTCTGCTACTTGACCACAGGGATTTCTGCTTCATCTCTGCATTACCTGAAGAAAACTGCCCAACTCTTTGATGCCACCAGTTACCATACACAACAGGTTTTAAAAACATGGCAAAATCCCATTGGTTACAAAAGCCATCATGGAACACTCAGATGTTCCTGCCTGTGAGTAACACGGCCCTTAGCAACAGCAAGGATACGAGCCCCCTCCCCCTCCATATTCTTCTTTACCGACAGTTCTCTTTAAATCTGCATTTGTCATCCAAGAAGAACGGGCACGGCTTCAGGGACTTGTGAGTTGGATAGAGATACAGCACTCTGACACCCGCACTGCCATCTTCCAAGTATTCTGTCCCCACAATCATGGCATTATGGTACTCCAGCGTCCCCCAAGAACTGTAGTACGGGGCTTTAACCTTCATCCCACTCAATTCCTCCTCCTCCTCCCTGTCAGACTCTTCCTCCTCTTCACTGCACTTCAATCCACTTTTCTCCTTGCTTTCTTCATTTCCCTTTGAAGATCTCTCGCTGTTATCAGCTGAAATCTGATCATCAGTTCCAAGCTCAGCAATGGCTTCCTTGAAGGCAGCATACTCCTCATCCTGGGCAGCACTGTCGGGGTTCACATGCTGCTCCGGGGCACTTACTTGGGGGGATGAGGAGGAGGCATTTGTATCTAAGGCAGCCAGCAGCTTGCTCTTTTTGACAGCCACCAGGCTGGACTCGGTCAGTTCTATCAGCTGCTTTAAGTCTTCTTGCAACTGAATCAGGTCCGACTGCTGCGAGGGGTCCTGGCCTGCCCCCAGCGCCAGCTCTACCTGCTGCAGCTGGGCGTTGTAGGCCTGGATCGCTGCTTCCAGGCTCTCTTCATCCATCCCGACCAAAAGAAAGGAGTGTTTAACCGTGTCCTTTCCGGGAACTCAGAACATGCCCCAGAATCATACGTAAAGCAGCCCGGCGAAATTCCCGCAGCGCACAAACGGCCGGCGGTGCGTCAGGGCCCCCGGGCAGCTCGGGACTGCTCTACCCTATCCCGTCCCCGTGCAGCCGGAGGCCACTGGAGCCGCCGGGCTCTCTCACGGCCGCAGCCCAGACCTCCCCGCTCAGCTCCCGCACCCCCGCGGTACCGCCGCCATGACACTCCCCTCACTTCCGCCCCTTTGGACAGCCACTTCCGGCTCCTCCAGCTGACGCGCAACGCCACTTCAGCGACAGAGCTCTCCGTCCTGCACTGGCGCATCCGGGTCCTCCCACGCTTCCGGTGTCGCTGAGCATTCTGGGAGCTGTAGTTCAAAATCCCCCTCCTCTCCATCCTGGAGGCGGCGCGAGAACTACGCTTCCCAGAGCGCCACGCGAGGGGAGCGCGGCGGCGGCGCTGGTTGACGGGAGGCGCTCCCGATACCGGGTGAGGGGCTGCTGGTGTGCGGATCTACGCTCCGCGGCCGGGCCCGCAGGGTACGGCGGGGTTTGGGGCGGCTCTGTGAGCGCGGTTGGGCTCTGAAAGGCGGTGTCGGCGGTGAAGGCCGCAGTCTGTGAGGCAGCGGCAGGGTTCGGGGGGCTCCGCGGGGCCGGGCCGGGGCCGGGGCCGGGGCTGGGGCTGCTGGTGGGCCTGGAGGGGGGCTCCAGGGCTGTGCTGTGTGCCCGATGCCGGGCTGTTCGGGAGCAGAGCCCTGCAGCCTGCCGCGCCCCCCCCGACCCCCCCGCTCTATGCACTGCCCAACCCTCCCTTCACCTCTGGAACGCTTTTTTTGTTGTCTTTTCTGTATTACTTTTTTCCCCTGGCCTTTAGGCAGCGTTGTTTGACTTCAAAGCGGTTGTTCACCCGCACAAAGGTTGTCACTTCTAAAACTCTTTCCCCTGAGGTTCCTTTTTGAGTCTATGCTGAACAAAAGAGCAGTTCCGATGCTGCGGGCTCTCGGTACCGCCGTGCCTCGTGTTTGAGCAGCTCTTCTCTACCCTGTGCAAAGCCAACGAGCAGCAGTGCGTGCTGCTGGCAGCTGCTGTGCTGCTCTGTGTGCTTCTCAGCCCTGTGCTGCTGGCCGTTTAACTGCACGGCGTTATATTGTGACCAGCTGCTTGTATGGTGGGTGCTGTAGCAGCACTGCTGCTGGAAGGAGGAGAGTTTGGGGTAGGTGAGCGTTCCTACACACCTGCAGGGTACATTTGGCTGTGAGCTTGGTTTGGCTGTTGAACATCCCATGATGCTGTACCTGGGTCACAAACGAAGTGAGGGGACACCAACCTGCAGTATGCTCAGAGCACTCCTTCTGTATATCTGAATGCCACTGGCTTCTTTTCTGTGAGTCTTATCTGCAAGTTACTTTCAAGCTCTCTGTTAAGTCCCGAAGAAAACAAGTTTTGAAAGGAGAAGTGAGTTCACAGTGGATGCTGTGCTTCGTGTGGTGAAACAGAGGTGAAGCTACTTGGGAGATCACCCCTCACTTAAATGTGTTTGAACATTGGATCTTGAGGTGTTTGCATGCTTGCTTTTGTATCTGTGATTTGTCTTATGGCTGGCTTAAGAGTTACTGATCAATGAGAAATGTAACTTATTAATCTGATGTTGGGAAACGTTTAGATTGTGGAATGAAAGAACTTTGGAAATGATCTGCTTGTTAATGATTCCTTGCATCTGCTGCAGGAGCAGGATGTATACTCTGCTGTCCGGACTCTATAAATACATGTTCCAGAGGGATGAGTACTGCATCCTGATCCTTGGTTTGGACAATGCTGGTAAAACAGTAAGTGCTGTGTGTTACCTATTGCATAGAGCTTGCATGCAGTTCTAAACAACCCCATCTCCAGAGATAAAACCTCTATCAGATAGATTAGCCTTTCTTTGTCAGTAGCATGAGTTATTTCAGCAATGTTACCCCCAAAGAATCAACTTTTATCTCGTATTTAAATTTAGCATAAGCTTGGATAATCCTGTAATCACTTGTGAGCCCTTCTTTCTGTACTGAAAGAGGGAGCAAGAAAAATGCTTTGTTTCAAGGTTAGGGAGGGCACTGTCTGTTGGAACAGGACTCTGCAGTCATGAAAAAGCAGGTCTGGGGCAGGGTTACCCAAGGCAGTAGAATATTTGAGAGTAAATACTTTTTCACATTCCTTTTCAGACCTTCCTTGAGCAGACTAAAACTCGATTTAACAAGAACTACAAAGGGATGAGTCTGTCGAAAATCACAACCACTGTGGGCTTAAACAGTAAGTAAATATGGGTTGTTATTATTATTGTTGTTATTATTATGGTCTGCTTGCAAAGTTAGGCACTCATTCTTGAGTGTTTGAATTATTGAAGAGTAGACAAGACCAAAATAGTTCCTGCAAATGAAGGTCTTCTCTCCCAGTCCTCCCCCTGTGTGTTTTTGTGAGAGAATAAAGTTGACTGGCTTAGCTTATAAGAAAAGATAACCTTGAAGTCATGAAAACCTAAAGAAGCAGATGTTCCATTTCAGGGCTACACTCAGCAGTTAAGTAACATTTTGCTGGAATTCTTTGGCCTGATTCTGATATTATTTGTACTGATGTGGTTCTGTCTGTGGTTCTATCTGATACAATGGTGACTTTTTCCTCATGTATTGTTCTGTTGCTGGAAGTAGCTCTGTATGTGATTTGCTCCACCCCAGCACTCTCAGTGTCTGTGCTTTGGAGACCCTTTCAGTTTTCATTGGATTGTTTTTCCTTCTTTCCTTCCAGTTGGTACCATTGATGTTGGCAAAACTCGGCTGATGTTTTGGGATCTGGGGGGCCAGGAGGAGCTGCAGTCTCTCTGGGACAAGGTTGGAGATGCAGTTTTCTCTTTTGGTCTCTTTCACAGTGACAGAACTGTGATCCTTTAATAGTCATGCAGGTTTTGTGGTAACCTTAGTCTTCAGCATCAATCCTTTTCCAAAGGCTTCAATGTATCTTTGTGAAGTTAGCAAAGATTGTGCTTCATATTTGCAGTAGTGGTAATGGACAGTGATTACCATTAGATACGAGGGTTGTGATGGCAGAGAGAAGCTCTTCAGGGCTTGTGGAGCCAATGTGCTTCTTCACCTGCTTCATTCAGCAGCCAGCAAGCAGGCAATGCATTTCAGTGCATTTTATGTGGTGCCATTCTTCCCTCCAGACACACGATGCAAACAGCTGGCTTTACGTGGTCGATCTCTTTCACGTGTATCAAAATCTTACCAAACAAAACAAAAATCTACAGGAGTAACAGTTGGCCCTGGCTGCTACAACACCAATGTATGTGTTGTCCTTTCAGTACTATGCTGAATCTCACGGTGTGATCTACGTCATTGACTCCACTGATGAGGAGAGGCTCTCAGAATCTAAAAGAGCTTTTGGTAAGTGTGCTGTGTTTGACCAGTCCTGTGATTTCATCGTGTTTCTTGGCACTGTTTTGTCATTGCAACTCTGTCTGATCCTGCAGCCTGTTGCTGGCACAGCCAAAGGACGTTTGCATCTTTGCATAATAAATGTTTATGAGGTGAATGTCTGAAAGGTTGGAACAAATGAAAATACAGCACAAGGAGGATCTTCTTGCTTCATTGGGCAAGAAGGGTCTTGTATTTGCACAACTTTGCCTTCCAGAACTGGTTAAACCTCTGTTCTGTTTTCTGTTCTTTACAGAGAAGATGATTACTAGCGAAGCTCTGGAAGGGGTTCCCATTCTGGTGTTAGCTAACAAGCAGGATGTAGAGGTAAGATTATGTGCAGGTGTGCTTCTTAAATGAGCAAACAGACCTTGGGAAGCTGGGCTCTGCGTTTGTGTTAAATGTATTTGATATTCCTGGGCTGATCCAGCAGTGGCCTTTCTCACTGCTGGAAACAATTCCTTTGAATTTAGTTTTTCCTTTTTCTCCCAGCCCTTTCCCAGTGATGCAGGTAAGATTACTTACAGAGGCACTTTTCCCACCTGATTTGAAGCTTTTTTTGTAAACAGAACAGACTATAGCTGTTACTGATCAATGAGAAATGTGACTGTAACTGTATACAGGATGGCTTTCCTGTGCTGTGGCTCGGTATCTCGATTTGTTTTTCTTCTCGTTTATTCAACAAAACATTGGTTAGTGAACTTTATGCTCTTCTGTGTTGTCCGTGGAATTCCAGTATGCAGTTGGAGAGATCAGTCTCTAGATGGAGCTAGAGACTGTTGGGGAAATTTGGAATAGGAACCTTTGCAGCTGTGATCAGGATCTGTTCCAAAGGGTGGCAGTGCTTCCAGCTCCCTTCCCCGGCCTGTACACCTATCTCAGTGAGTGTACTTGTGGCAGATCCTTGACACTTCCATAGAAATCACTTTGGATATAAAGGTGGATTTTGTTGTTGTTCATTCATACAGCCCAGGAGACATTTGGGTGATCCTTATGTTATCTAGGCACAGAAGGAAGTGTAATTCCACTTCAGGGGCAGCATAAACTTCAGATCCATAATTCCTGATTTCAGGTCCTGACTTTGCTGTGAACTCTGGTGCATGGGAAAGATGAGTGTCTTTTCTGTGTGGAAACTAGAATGTTGCCTCTTGTCTTCCATGCAGCAGTACAGTAACAGTGAGCAATCTGCTCTCTTATCTTTAGCCATTGAGATTTAAGTACATGCAGTGACTTAAAAGCTGTTTGAAATTTCCTTATGGCCATACATGAGTTTTTTGTTGTGGTCATACTGCAGAGCTCAGTTCTTCTGGCACCCAAACTGGGCCAAGGCAAACGAGTGGCTACAAAGAGGTATTTGAAACAGGCTTTCAAGGTAAAAGCTATGAAGGTCTAGAGGCTCTGGGTGCAGCCCACAGCTTCAGTGCCTTCATGCAATCAAGAACTGTGATGAGATTAGCAAAGCTACACTGGCTGGAAGTGTATCTATTTTCAAGTAATATCTAAATTGTGGAGGTCTAATCATAGATGATCTTGGACGTGAACACGGAGTGAAGGGCCATCAGTGCTGTTAACAAAACACTGCAGAGTCTACAGCATATTTCTGAGTAATGATTTAGGCTCTCTTAAGCAAGGGTTAGAAAATGGGAGGTCTTTTTTTCTCTTCCACTGATCTACCAGGAGGGAAGAACTTGGGAAGAAAATCAAACATTACAGAGTAATCAGTGGCACAGATTGTTCTGCTGTGGATCTCC